TTTCCTATTAGTGAAAGAGCCTGACATTGAATGCAGTTTTCCTTAGACATTTGTGCATGGATAGCTCAGTTAAAACGGGGCACAATTTTTGATATTTGTATCATTTATATAAATTAGTATAAAAACTTTAACAAGATATACCAAATTCCAAGTAACATTATTCTAAGATACTCTAAACAGCTGTATACTAGGTGTGGATGATTTTTATTGTTTTGTCACAAAAATTTGAATCCCCTTTTTAATTTCAGTTTTATTGTTTGAAGGATGCAATGTAATGATTTATAACATAAAATTAAAAATGACACGCATTACTATAAAAACCTAACTTGTTTTCTCCCAACCACATTGGAAGATTATGTAACTCATCCAAATGTAGTAAACCGCTATTTTGATAAACATATGCAGCTTTTAATGTAATAATCCTGCAAATGTAATACATTTCCCAGAGATGCAATAGTTGCTTCCAAGTTGCTTAACACATACCATTTCCCACTAATAAAAAAAGAAAATCAAACAACAAAAACAATCACTATTATTTATTGCATCTTTACATTAGTAAGCGTCACAGTTTACCTTAATTTAAAGGGCTTAAGAAATTAAAATGTGGAACATGCTCGTAAAAAAATGTTTTGCATCAAACAATGAAAATGTAATAAAGTAATTTTGGAGCTAATGTTATCACACAGTGAGCAGTTTATCAGTTATGGATCACATCTTAGAACAATAAGTAATGAACGAACATCATTCTGCACTATGAAAATAAAACAAGAACATTGGTGGAAAAAATATAGATTTATAAATACTTTTATCATAGTTAATTCAAGACCAGAATAATTATTAGTAACTTTGTAAATACTTTAAATATTTTATATCCTCTTAGTATTGCTGACTGCAACCAATGTATTTCAGTTTGAGAAACACTGAATAGTTAATATTAAAGTTCAAAATGAAGCATTGGCCATTATGAAGCCATAAGAGGGCGCTGTTTACTGCAGGCTCCTTACTGTGGTCTCTCTCTTCCTCTGCTGTGAAGTTCCACCTTAACCAGGACAAGATGAATTTCTCTACGCTCAGAAACATCCAGGGTCTTCACGCTCCGCTCAAATTGCAGATGGAGTACAGAGCGGCCAGACAGGTAGACGCAGTCTACACCTTTTCATCTTCAGTGTTTTTAAAGTCCCCCCCCCCCCCGGTTCCTAAAGCAAAGTGTTTCTGGGTTCCAGATCCAGCGTCTGCCCTTCTTACCAAGCTCTAACCTTGCTCTCGACACACTGCGAGGAAGCGATGAGTGTATCGGTTTTGAAGACATCCTCTGTGGTGAGGGCCTCACTCCTCTGATTAGATGGGAAAATCTACTATTAACATAAAATAAGTCTAACCATCAATCTGTGTTTGTTTGTCTGCAGATCCAGCTCAGAGTGAAGTGATGGGGGAGCCTCACATGATGGTAGAATACAAACTTGGATTGCTGTAAAAACAAGAACCTTGAAAATGGACAACCCAACACATAATTAGGTTCCTTTCTCCCAATACATATGATGATCTATTCCAGAACAGGTTAGAAGTTGTCAGCTCAGAACCGTCATTTAGCCACTTGTCAAGCATAGGGCGAGCTCTATGCGTGTCAGTGAGGTGATGCAAGTCAAACAGAGGCAGCGATTTAAAAACAGTCACCCAACTGGTTTTCATGGCCCCTTTTTTGTTGTTTGAATCTGCTTGATATTTCTAATAAAAGAATAATGTACTTCCTCGTGATGTGGTTTCATTTCTCCAACTTTATACCTGCAGAAGCAGAACTTTGGCTCCAAATATTTATCTAGACCAGGGGTGCCCAACCAATCAACTGCGGTCTACCAGTCCATCGTGGGCTGAGTTTTAAAGTCGATCGCAAGAAGTTTTACAATGTAGACCTATTTATGGCTATGACAAAAAAAAAAGAAAAAGTTTTTCATAATAACAAAATGGAAAAATAAAAAGTATGCAGGGAACCTTTTCTTATGCATGCTGACTGCTGGGCATGGTTTGCCATGGTTGCTAGGTTGTTACCAGGGACTCTAAAGCACAAAGAGAAATCTGAAGAGATAAGATAATGACATCTATGACAACTGATGGGGCTCCATCTATGGTTGGGCGCACTGCTGGATTCGTTGCTCTGTTCAAGCTGTCTGAAACTTTCCCGGATTTTTGGATCAACCGCTGCATCATTCATCAACAGCAGCTGTGCGGCAGTATTTTAAATATGAAGCATGTCATGGACGTTGCGATGAAGATCGCTTGCTCTGTTCTGGCCAGGAGTTTACAGAGGTGTTTTTCCGTGCCCAGCTCGAGAAGGTAGGTGCAGACCACACTGATCTGCTGCTGCACACCGATGTCAGGCGGCAGAGCCGTGGCAGATTCTTCAAAAATATTTGGAACTTTTCCACGAAATTAAAGAGTTTCTGAAACAGTCAACAACCCATTCTGCTGTATGTTACATCCTCACACCCACATAGTTTGTACTTAGTATTTTTATCTATTTTCCTGTTGAATTTTAATCAATCTGCCAGTTTATCTGCCAATGCCCAGTGAAGTTTATCATTCTGAAATAGTGGACTTCCCTTCTTCTTCCTGCTTTGAAGTGATCTTAGACTTTGACAGATTTTATTTGTCATTTTGTTTACACAATAGTAAAAAAAAAAGAAGAAATTTAGTTTGGAACAGCTAAATTAAATAAAGTGCAGCCTTGAAAGGTAGTAAAAAAAAAAAAAAAATATATATATATATGTATATATATATATATATATAAACAGCGATATAAATGTACAGTTCTAATGGTTTTTTTTGTTGGTTTTTTTCATCTCTACTTGACTGTGTATCAATTGGTTTATTTAGATTTTTGGACTGCACAGATCTTGACTGCTCTTTTCTGTAGTTTTGGTCAGTCTGATGAGTGAGTGAGAGAGATATGGTGTTAAGTTCTGTTTTTGCAACCTATTTTTTGAAACGATTGATAATTTCCTTGTTTGTTGGATTTACTGTTTATTCTCCACCTGTGCAAAAGAAAAAAAAAACAACAAATACTGCGCATCCCTTGTGTTTGGCTTGGTAGATCTCAGCATGCCATCAACTTCAAAAGTAGCTCTTGGTTTAAATAAGGTTGGGCACCCCTGGTGTAACAGTATCATGACTATTAGAGACTTTTTTGTACTTGTTTTTTTTTTTTGCAGAAAGAAAAACATGGCATTATGTGGAAAGGACATCACAAGGGAGTACAGAATCAACTTCATACTAGCAAAATAATCAAACTCCTGAATGAGATACAAACTAGCTTACACACATCAAAGCAGTATTTATTTTAGCAAAGCTTATCTGTTTAGTTTACCTTTTAAAATAATTAAGATCAAAGAATATTAATGCACCAAACAGCAAAGAAATGTGAAGGGAATAATTTTTCACCCAATTCATGGTTAAGAGGTAAAGCTATCAAACTGTGAAAACATGAACGTACAAAAGAAAAAAAAAAAAACTTTTAAAAATCAGTCTGCAGTTTACTTTATTGCCACAAGATGGCAGTATTAATCTACAATATGCTGCTCTAATCAGCTCCTTTCCTATCCTCATAGAGTACCTACAAGTAAATCCAGTGATTAAATGTGATAATCAAAATATTGGATAACTCATTTATTTTAGTAACTCAATTTATATTATATAAATTAATTACTTAGGAACTAAAGCTTGAAAATCTGTCACTTTTGATTCCCATCAATGGTGGTCAATGGTAAACTTGTTGTCCCCAATGGAAAACTGACTTTCAGCATTTTCAGTTATCAAACAAGCCATACATTGTTTTACAACCCCAATACAAAATAAAACTGTGTACGTTGTTAAGCAATGTGCACTATTGTTCGTAACAATGCTTTTATTTATGTTTTTTTATTACTAAACATAATAACAGTAGCACATATTCTTGCTCTTCAATGCAGACAAAGTTGAGGGAAGATGAAACTTTCTAGAGAACGGATGAACTGAGGTTGCCTGCCTCAGCACCTGCTTATCCTAAAAAGTACACAAGCTAGAAAAGAGTGCTCCCTAAAATCCTACTAGCCACTTTGGTTATTTAAATCACTAAGTCTGTTTTTATTGCCACTAACATATAATTAACACTTTTTTACTAAAGATAAGAGCATCACATCAGATTAATCAAATATAAATTCCTTCTACAGAATGTTTAATACCTGCTTATAGGTTGTTATTTTCAAAGGGCCCTTTTAATCAAATGACTCTATATAGAAGACATGTTCCAATTCATTCAATATGATACCATTTTATTGAGATTTGTTTGAGCAACACATGAAATAAAAGTTTTGGATTCCTACAGCAAGTCATTATAACCTGCTCACAGGTTTCGTAAAGTTTTCTTTGCAAAATCTGTGAAGGACTGGATGTCCTTCCTGATGTAACCAGGTTGTCCTCATTATAGTCAAATATATAACTTTCCTTCACTTTGGGGATGCCTTTCACCCCCTGACATAATAATATGCTGTAGTCTAAGTTAATCCTCAGTAGCTCTAGAAAAAATATTTAAGCTCCCTGTCCTGCTGGCAGCTAAAAGTCAACTTTTTACATGTCAGACAGGATTTTCTCTACCTTTACCTCCATTCATTTTCCTGTCATCTCTGACCAACTTCCATGTGTCTGTGGAAGAACAGCATTCCCACAGCATAACTCTGCCACCGTCATGTTTCACACTAAGAATGTGAGGCAAGGTATTGCTCAAGGTAAAGTATTCAAGTTGAGGTCAAAAGGTTCCACCAAAGTGCCTTCTTTCATATGTTTTTTTGTTCTTTAACTAAGCTCAGGATATTGTTCATGATCAAAACCTTCTTTAAGCTTCCCCATTTATCCCTTACCTTTCTATTGTACTCTTTTGGACTGTACCACTTCTAACATTTATTCTTCTTCAAATGTGTTTTCTATTTTGTGTTGGTCTATTCAATAAATTCTTAGATTATATTTTTTTTGTGGCTGCAACATGACAAAATGTTATTGTTAATTTTATCAGCGTCAGTTGAATTTATTGTGTAAAACCTCTTTTGGTGACATTTTCAACAGGTTCCACTAAGTTGTGGAACAAGAACAAACAATATAGAGGCATCAAAGTACCTAAAATAGTTAACTTAAGTAATTATTATGCAACTAGAAATCTTATATATAGAACAAGCGAAACAAACAAATGGTCTGTGTTGATGATATAATATAGAGAGAGCAGATTCTGCCTGAACTTCAGCAGCTTCTTTTAAAAAAATGTCCTCCCACAAGCCTCCAAACATAGACTTTGTCAGTGTTTAAAAGTGCTCACTTGGCAAGACTCAGATGTAGGGCAGCATCTTTAACACTAGAAATATGGAGCAAAAGGTTCCTGCTCACTGAGTGTCATGCCATGCACAATGCAGAAAAGCATACATTTTTATCATTTAACATTGAGAGCCAGTAAAGGCAAGGCAAGGCAAATTTATTTGTATAGCACAATTCAGTACAAAGACAATGCAAAGTGCTTTACATGATTAAAATATAGGAAAATAAAAAAAGAATCAGAGAAGAATGAGAAGAAAAAATGAAAATGAAATGATAAAACAAATGCAGAAACAATAAGGAACACTAGAAAAAGCTGTCTCGGAGAAA